AAGCTAAACATTAACACCGTTGAATGTCGACCATCTCAGTCGTCTAGTGTTTAACCGTTTGTACGCTAGACCAATGAGTCCTGTGTTCGAATCTAGCAAGGTTTGATCGTAGATGCGCACTGATTAAGAGTTGCATACTAGGAAGTAACGGCCATCCTTTACTTCCAGATTTTCCATAGTTTTCTAGCTACAAGTGATTCATGATCTCAACTATTATTAATACATATTACTCAAGTAATAAAATCTGTCTGATTGAGGTTACGAATACATGAATTATTAATTAATTCCTAATCCATTTTGTGCATATCATTTAATATCAAATTGAATATTCAACAAAATACTCTTTAATGTACAATTTGTTGACTCATAAACTTGTATCTAATTTTGTTTAGTTTACTCATAGAATGTACAGTTTGATGCTTATTTTATATAGTTCTGTATAATTATGATATTAATGAATGATAAATCACAATGTCTGAATGAATATTTAGACATTGAAAAAAATGTTTTTTACAAAATGAAAATGCAATTTATTTTTGTTGAACAAAAGAATCAATGGAAAATTAGACAAATCTATGATAGAGAAAAAACATTTAATTATAGCTTTAATTAGTTTATTATACATCAATGAATTCCACAATAGTCAACTCATTCGTGAATATATACAGGGTATATATATATATAACTCTTCCTGGAGCCTCTCTGGGGCTACTGACGGTCCCAAGTCCAGATAAGGGAGGAGGGTTGGACATGGGGTTAGCGAACCTCTCCCGTAGAAAACTAACTCTCTAAAAAAACGCTAACCAGAAAAAATTACTCAAACCATTTAAAGTCTGCCCTGGGAGTTAGAAATTCTTCATTTAGAAGAGTTATAATGCCTCATGATGAAAGCCGAGTTCCTTCGTATGTCACGAGGCTGATGCCCCATTCTGATGACCAAAGCAACCATTAATTTAGACACATGGAATGCTCGTAAAATGTGGGGGAGCGGGAGAGTCATTCAAATTGCAGCAGAAATGAAAAGATACAACCTGGAATTGCTTGAAATCTGTGTAACACATTGGATTCAGGTTAGACAACAAAGACTAGCTTCAAGGGAGCTGATGTTATACTCCGGTCATGAAGAAGAAAATACTCCACATACACAACGAGTTGCACTGATGCTAGATAGTTAACATAATGGTGGAAATTAGTACTTATTTGAGTTAGTTTATATTTCTGTGAAAGATGATTGAGAAAGTTTGACAAGTTGCCCTATAGTTGAGAAAAAAAAGAAATTGCGGCAGTCTTAAGTTTATGTTTCAAAAGAGGTGCTAAGAGATATTAATGAGGAATCTACTAACTTGTTCTTAGCTGGAAGAGATAGCTCATTCGATGAAAGGTACTGGGTTAATCTGAAATCAGTAGTTAAACGGATAATGTATTGAACGTTTAAAACCAAAGACATTGTGTTCGAGTCCCAGAGATATAATCAACAGTGAAATTAAGATACACCCATCAAACGACTCCCAAATAAAACGAAGAGCTCCTGAATTTCATTTCTAGTCACTATCCAACCTTGTTAAATATACCTCTAGGTGATAGCGATGTTAAACTAATCTGCTGTAGGTCCCATATTGCTAAAAAAGTCTGTTCGATTTTAGACCTTATCGCCAAGAACGGGGAGATCAAAACCCTTACAGCCTAATTAGTTTATTGTTAAGTTAGCTCAAATTGATTCTTTTGTTGTTTAAATATTTAGAAGCAGCTTAGATGTTCAGTATTATTATTATAAGACGAGTGTAATAGGATAAAGGAATTGCGAAAAACAATGGTTGTATTTCTTACAATTTGAGACCCATCAGCTGAATTTATGTCATATCTGATAACCGAAACAAGTTCTGTGTTTTTGTAAAGACATATACATTTTCTTACTTTTGACAAGATTTTTAGTTTTGTTTTCTAGATGTTACTGACACAAGTGGATCAATAGTTAAGTCGTAATTTATTTTGTTTTACTATTTACAACTAATACGTTACTTTTCATAACCTTATATTTCTGTGAATGTGGTAGAAAATTTTAATACCTGATACCCTTATTAATGCTGGATTCCGTAAGGATTGATCGTGTACAGATCAAATCGCAACACTACGCATTATTGTGGAACAAGCAGTTGAATGGAATTTATCACTCTACATTAACTTTATTGACTTCGTGAAAGCATTTGATAGAGTGGACAAGACAACACTGTGAAGGGTTCTTTGACAATACGGCGTGCGCGAGGAAATAGTTAACATCATACGGAATTCTTATGATGGATTAAACTGCAAAATCATCCATGGAGGTGACCTCACAAACTCGTACGGAATGAAGACAGATGTCAGGCAAGGTTACTTACTCTCAACATTCCTCTTTCTTTTGGTGATCGACTGGATCATGGAGACTTTAACATCTGGTGGGGAGAAAGCACGGGATACAGTGGAGGGCCAGAATGCAGCTGAATGATCTAGACTTCGCAGATGATCTGCTTCGTCTATCGTACACGCAACAACAAATGCAGGAGAAGACGATTAGTGTAGTAGCAGCCTCAGAATTAGTAGGTCTCAACATACACAGAGAGAAAAGTAAGATTCTCGGATACGACACAACACGCACCAATCGAATGGCACTTCATAGAGAAGCTTTGGAAGATGAAAAAACCTTTACATATTTGAGCAGCATCATTGATGAACACGGTGGATAAGACGCAAATGTAAAGGCGCGGATCGGAAAAGCAAGAACAGCATATTTACAACTGAAGGCATCTGAAAATCAAAACAACTGTCTGTTAACTAACACTAGAGTCAGAATTTCCAATACAAATGTCGAGACAGTTCTACTGTGTGTTGTGGAAACCTGGAGAACTACGAAAGCCATCATCCACAAAATACAAGTGTTTATTAACAGTTGTCTACGCAAAATACTTAAGATCTGTCGACCAGATACTATCAGCAACAACCTACTGTGGGAGAGAATAATCCATATTTCAGCGTAGGAAGAAATCAGGAAGAAGCGCTGGAAGTGGATGCTACATACAATGAGGATGGCACCCAACTGCGTTACAAGACAAACCCTCACTTGGAATTCTCAAGGTCAAAGTAGAAAAGGGAGTCACGAGAACACATTACGTCAAGAAATGAAGACGGATTTGTGAAGAATGAAAAAAAATTGGATAGAACTGTAAACGAAGGCCCAGGACAGAGTGGGTTTGAAAATGCTGTTGCGCGGCTTATGCTCCATTGGGAGTAACAGGCGTAAGTAAGTAAGTAAGTAAATAAGTAACAGTTATTAGTAGGTAACATTGTCTTTGTTAACCAGATTAATTATAACATTTTTTCCTAAAAATTACATATGGAGGATAAATTCATACTTTCTTCAATACAATTGTACTGAATTGATATATGTATTGATGAGTCATTTAACAATCCGATGTCTCTAAAATGTCATAATTTCAACATAAACCATTTTTAACCACTTGTTAAATGAGAAGGAAGATTAATTTAATTTGAATGCATTGACAGACGTGTAGTGCGTTTGTGGCAGGCTCATCTTATTCACCAATAGCATACAACTACTCAAACGTTAATTTACAATGCGGGTTTGTGTATATCAGAGTGATTATCTGTGCAATATTCAAATTTTAGTTCGTTCTCCAACCGACTCTGTTCTGAACCTTCATTTCCAGTTCTATCTAATTGTTGATCATTCTTCACAAATCTGTCTTCATTTCCCGTCGTAATGTGTTCTTTTGACTACCTCTTCTCCTTTGACCTTGAGGATTCCAAGTGAAGGCTCGCCATATGATGCACTTCGGGGCTTTCATCAATTTGTGTTCTATCCATTTCCAACGCTTCTTCCTGATTTCTTCCTCCACTGGAACCTGGTTTGTTCTCTCCCACAGTAGGTTGTTGCTGATAGTTTCTGTTCAACGGACCCAAAGCTGCTATTGAACACTTGTATCTTCTGAATGATAGCTTACGTAGTAACACTTACATTTACATAATCCAAATATAAATGAATTACCCAACAATCTTATGGTTTCATGACACACTATATGGAACCTCTAATAAACGACAACACCTTTTACTTATCATTATCTGATAACATGATTCTATCATTGGATGTCATGTAAAAAAATAGAAAGAGAACTTTGAGAAAACACTATTCATTAAAAGATAAAAAATATTGAAAGCAAATCATTTGTACAGTCAAATGTTGATTAGTAACCAAAACAATGTTGTTGTTGTTGTTGGTTTCTTTCTTTCTTTCATAATGCCAATAATTACAAGAGGAAAATAGAAATAATAAATATAGTTATTACATAATTATGCATTACCTATGAATACTCTTCTTTTAATGATTAAAAGAAAAATGAAGGTGAATAGAATATATAGTTTTATAATTAGATTGAATAGGTACAATGTAATGGAATGATAAATTATTAAATATAATATCACTGATTCAATGATTATAAATGATTATGAAACCTTTTAAATGAATGATCGCTTTGTATCGATTTAATTGAAGTGATAAATCATAGTGTTAGTGATAAAATGGTTCTTTAATTTAGAAAACAAGAAGAAAAATAAACGAAAAAAAAGAGGGACGAACAAACTTCATTTTGAAATCATGTAATGAACGCATAAATCTTGGATAAATTCATGAATAGAAATACTGATAGAAAAGAAATATCATCTTCATCAATAGATGGAATGGATATTCGATTGGATCATTAAAACATATACAGCTAATATTAACACCATATATATATATATATATATATATATATATATATATATATATATATATATATATATATATATATATAATAAGAAAAATTCGCTTTCATATCGAAAAATGTATAATTTATTACAATAATTCATCAATGTTATTACATATAATATAAGTAATACTGAATGTAATTCATTCATATATACTATAATATAATTGAACTTTTCTGGGCTGCCTATCGTTTAAATGTTTATGTTCTTCCAAGAAAATAAACTTTAGTTGATAAATTTGGTTGAATTTCTACACTATCACCATTACCTGAATCACAATCAGTTGATATAATGATATTAGATGTAAAATCGGTTGTTGATAATTTTGGCCAATTATCCATTGTAGACATTAAAATATGTGGCTACAAAGTAATTTCAATGGAAATAATGGTAATCAATAATGTAATCAACTATGAAAAATAAAAGATAATCAATGTGTTTTGTATATTTCACAAGTTGAAATCATGAGCCAATTGAAGCTAGACCACCATGGGGAACCTGGAAGCACTGGACGGCCGTTTCGTCCTAGTATGGGACTCCTCAGAAGTGCGCATCCACAAACCCGCCCCCCGCTGGATTCGAACCCAGGACCTACTGGCTTCACGCGCGAGCACTTAACCATTAGACCACTGAGCCGGCATCCAACGGTGTTAATGTCTAACTTCAACCAATCCACGAAGTTGCGCCACCGTACACCATTGTCTTCAGCGAGTTCCTATCTCACAACAGACCTGGTTGAACTCCACTGGTAACGACTTCTCACTAGTTATTTCAAAACCACAGACAGTGATGAGGATACTTCCATGATCAAATATAGACAGATACTATTACTGTGGAAATTGTTGAATTTTGTACTTTACAATGCGAGTTAACTTACGTTTTAGATGTACATCATTTAATCCAGGTTAAGTAGTCATTAGCTTAGGTCTTAGTATGGGATTCGAGAGTTTAAGCATTAAATACTTCTAATTTTTGAGCAAAAACTAAAGAACCTAACCATTTAAGAGAATGGACTTGAAATGCGAATGGGTTGAGTTTTTATTCGATCATTTAAATAGAGAATGGAGCTGCCTTATGTCCAGAATTTGATATGTCAAGGTTTTGTAATTGGTTTTCAGTTTGAAAACTCAACTGTATTCAATATACAAACTAACCTAGTTATTAGAAATGGATATACATCTCCGTATAGTAACACTAAACATCTTTTTGTTTCACCATATTACTTCATTGAGGATTCAATAATAATTAGATGAAGAGGTTTAACAGATGAAGCTAATATCTCATTAGACATCTATGTAGAAAAGATATTTCCACTGGAAAATTTGACAATGATTGAATAATGCACCAAAGAATTTAATAATCAAAAATTGTACCATTCTTTGTTGATTAGTGTCATGAACATGTTTTCGATAAAAAAAGAATAAGCTATGGATTTTCAATACAAATGTCAAGACAGTTCTTCTGTATGGGGCGGAAATCTAGAGAACTAAGAAAGTCATCATCCAGAAAATACAGGTGTTTATTAACAGTTGTCTACGAAAAATACTTCAGATCCGTTGGCCGGACACTATTAGCAACAACCTACTGTGAGAGAGAACAAATCAGATTCCAGTGGAGGAAGAAATCAGGAAGAAGCGCTGGAAGTGGATAGGACACACATTGAGGAAGGGACCGAACTGTGTCACACGACAAGCCCTCACATGGAATCCTCAAGGCCAATGTAGGAGAAGAGGAAGACCAAAGAACACTTTACGCCGGGAAATGGAATTAGACATGAGAAAAATGAACAAGAATTGGATGGAACTAGAAAAGAAGGCCCAGGACAGAGTGTGTTGGAGAATGCTGGTCGGCGGCCTATGCTCCATCGAGAGTAACAGAGGTAAGTAAGTAAGTAAGTAAGTAATGGATTTTAAGTGTTTTGTGTTTATACTATGTTCCCTTCCTTCATAAACGTATGGATCACTCCTAATCAATCGGTCACACTATAATGAGTTCTTTACGAATGTTACTCCTTGAGAAAACAACTGCTGATATATAGCACAAAATTCTTAACTTGCTCACTAACATTATGGTAAGTTTCTTAGGCATACAGGTTATCAAAAGGACACTCATTCCATCTTATTTTATTCAGTATTCTCAAAGGCATATCGTTCGAATCTATTCAATATACCTTTTCTTTATATACATCAATAACATATCGTATCTCCATAAAATTTTGATAAATAATTACGTAAAGATACACACATATATATACACATTCATTTCTTTTGATTTTGATTGCTACTTTGAAGAATCTCAGATAGACTTACTAAAAGAAAGGATAGAATTATTTATATTTTAATCATTTTTAATATAATTATGTCTATATACCAGGTACCCGATTTTTGTTAAACTATTCATTCATTCGCCCTCCAGCATTCACCATCCAACCCTGTTCTGGGCAATGTTAGTTATCCTTTTCATGTCTAATTCTATTTCCCGACGTTATGTGTTCTTTGGCCTCCTTCTTTTCCGCTTCCCTTCACGATTGCAAGTTAGGGCTTGCCTCGTGATGCACTTTGATTATTTGAAAAATGTATGTCCCATCCATTTCCATAGTCTTTTCCTAATCTCCCCTTCAGCTGGAAGCTGGTTTGTTCTCTCCCACAAAAGGCTGTTGCTGATGGTATCCTGCCAATGGATGTTGAGTATCTTGCGTAGACAACCATTTATAAATACTTGTACCTTCTTGATGGTGGTTGTATTAGTTCTCCAAGTTTCAGCTCCATACAGTAGAACTGTCTTGACGTTCGTATTGCAGATTCTCACTTTGATATTGGTTGAAAGTTGTTTTGAGTTCCATATGTTCTTCAATTGTAGGGATGCTGTCCTTGCCTTTTCAATCCTCGTCTTTACGTCTGCATTTGAACCTCCTTGTTCATCGATGATGCTTCCCAGGTTTGTGAATTATTCTCCATTTTCTAGAGTTTTCTCATCAAGTGTGACTGGTTTGGTGTTCTCTGTGTTGTATTTGAGGACCTTGGTTTTCCCCTTGTGTATGTTGAGACCTAGTGATGCAGAGACTGCTGCTACACTGGCTGTCTTTATCTGCATTTGTTCGTTTGTATGTGATAGGGGGGCTGGGTCATCTGCGAATTCCAAATCGTCTAATTGATTCTGAGCTGTCCAGTGTATGCCGTGTTTTCCCTCAGATGTCAAGGTTTTCATAATCTAGCCGACCACCAGAAGAAAGAGGAAGGGATAGAGTAGACAGCCTTGTCTGACTCCAGTCCTTACTTGGAATGCATCTCACAGCTGTCCTCCATGAACGACTTTGCACTGTAGCCCGTCGTATGAGTTCCGAATAATGCTGACAATCTTCTGAGGAACTCCATTGTGTCGAAGAAGTTTCCATAACATTCTGCTATCAACACTGTCAAATACCTTTTCATAATCAACGATGTTGATGTATAGTGACGACTTCCATATTCATTTATATGGGGATTTGTGATAAGAAAAGTTTAGAAAAGATTGCAAATTTGTTTGTGATTTTCTTAATGAATGTATAGTTCCAACAGTAATCTATTCTACCACAATTGCAAGAAATGCATGTATGGAACACTATTTTTTAGATGTAACGTTATTTGATCATACAAACAAGAATATATTATTCATTGTGAAAGTATAGAAGGTGAAGTAAAGAGACCATGAATCCTTGTATGCTAAACTTCTTTAGTCAGAGATAAATGGTTTCTAAATGCTAATAGCTTACAAACACAGTTCCTAAGAATTCGTATTCTCATCGTTTGTGTGTGTGTGTGTATTTTCAACGTATCATCAATTGCTCCGAAAACATAATAAAAAAAAGAAAGCATCTTCTTTGACCCGTATATGTATGAGTTTCTCTATTGTGTTTGAAATAAAGAATCTAAGTGATGAAAGGGAATCAACATGATAGTCTTGGACCTTACATAGTTATTAAAAGTAAACGCTTAAAGTAAAAGCAATTTAATCTGTTTTATTCAATATTCTATGCATAAAAATCATTTTCCTTTTGAATTTATAGCAACTCACGTGCAATTGATTTTGTTTAACTCAGTTAAGCCCTTTTTTTAACTTATTTAGCGGATAAAGTTTTCCGTACTAATAACAACTTACTGTATCCTTATCATTGTTGTGCTTGTATGAAATATGTATGCTTGAACATTCCTTACCGCCTACGCATATATTCACTCTGCTAGCTTTATTATTAGCTGATAAATTGATTCGATGATCCATTCATTTCCGTATATATATATATATATATATATATACTTGTACATTTAACACTACACTCTCGGTTCACTGACTTACTCATTTGCCTCACGGATTTGTGGTCTGAGTTATTCAGCTAATAAAACGGTAGTCGCTGCTTCTCTTTGCCTTCTGATTTCAAACACCGTTGAGGATTATATGGTAACGGTTAGGAGGATGATTTGTCAACGAAACACAGCCACTACAAATTACTTCATTCAACATAATATTACTTAATATAATTTTACTAAATTTATGATCTTGATCTAAGTCTATCAATTAAATTATAATGAGATTATTGATAAAAGTCACTTATAACTGATAATATATCATAAAAGATCTGAGTTAATTTATTTGTCTATATTAACGTTAATCATTATTCTTAGAAATTATTCCCAACGTTTATTCACTTAACCCAAGAAAAAAGCTTATCTTACTATATTCATATCAGTTACTTGACAGATATAATTTCATTTGAATGTTATCAATCATAAAACAATGAATGGAGTATTCTTAGAAGAAAAAAAAGCAAACTGTTATAATGGCGATTATATAATAATTGACATTTAGAAAACTTCTGTTTCATTCATCTACAAAATTGAACGTAGACTGAGTTTGCTTGTCTGTTTTGTTTTCTAATAAGAAATGGATTTGACAAGATAATTCTAAAATCTTTCTATAATACATATTGAGAAATGGATGAATGAAACCTAGTCAAGTTGATCCTATAATATTCAATATACTAGCAATATACAACTACATAAAGTATATGTTTGAATGGTTAGTTTGTATATAAAAGGAATAACACACATTTGAGGAGTCATTATAGTTTATTCTGGAGTACCTATTCGTTTTTTTAAAGTGTGACGAAATGACTCATAAAAAATAAAGATATTAAAACGATGAAGTTCCCGCATCCAAGTTGAAAGCGAGCTCTGGTTACGGCTAATGTACGTTGCTCCACAAGAGCAGGTGAACTGGTTGATGTACATGGAGGCGATCAGATGGGAAAGCTTATCTTTTATGGACATAGACAACAATTTCCCACTAGTGAACGTTATTGGCAGTTTTACCGCACAGAATGTTCTTTTTATCACTTTTGTGAAATGATTTTTGATTACATCAGATGTTTGATCATCTTTAAGTCCCAAACATATATAGAAGTTTTTTTCTTTCGAACAGAACAACCAGATTCCCTATCACAAATACTTCTTTTCATATTCTTATCTATGAAATCGTCTAGATAGGCATTTTTCGTCCGAGTCTTCCAGAGGAATGTGATATTTCGTCAATCTATTCTCTACTACATATCCGATTTATTTGGTAACATAAAGAGTGAATAAGATTTCTCTTTCTGCTTAAAGGAGCCCAGTTATAGAAGTTTGTCAGCTGGCCATTGCATTGTTTGTGTACAAAGTGAATGTTATGAATACTTTTATTACACTCATTTCCAACAGTCGTCCATATATATTAATATTTATCATCATAAACATAAGTTGCATTTAAGAAGCAAATATTTCTTGATCGGATATATTCGTCGAACACTCAGACTAGGCTTTATCTTCATTATAACTAAAGAATGGGCTAAAAGAATTAGTGACATAACTTTGAACAGTAATTGTGATCATTAATTAATAAATGCCATACCAACGCACAGTGCTACTCCAGTTATTTCAAATGGATGACCAACAGCCAAATTATGATCGCGGTTACTGAATTCTTTTTTATTAAAAGGTACAGTTCAAAACAAATTTAGTTGGTAATATGACAAATTCTTTACTGATTATGGTTATAACAGTACTATTATAGTAAGTTGTAATAATAAACTAAGAATAAATTCTCTGTAAACTTACATGTTTCGATATATTAGTCGGCTCATTACAGGCCTCAGATATACTAAAAGGTATTGAACATTGACCATTCAATATTGTTTGACAAACATCTTGATAACCTGTTATATCTATTTTATCCCCATTGTGATAATTTGTATAATCATTATATAAATTGTTCATGTTATATGATGAAACAGTCAGATTTATTCTGTTTTCATTAGTTTCCATGTTGACAATATTATTATCATTAATTATGTTGCTATTAGTGGACCAATAAGTACCGGGAATTTTATTTAATGAATTTTGACCGTAATTATAATCTGTTTCAACAGGTAACAGAAACAAACTCCCATTCGGATGATTAATTAATTCCAAATTATTATTTCCATCTTCGTAACTGGGTAATTGTTGAGAGCAATTAGGAAATGGATGAACTATTAAAATAAATATGAAAAAATAATAAAATCAATCGAAACATGAGATTGAAGCAATTAAATAAATACTATTTATTGAAATTGCAAACCGACCTTTGTTCAATGATCGACAAAAACCACAAAGTACTGTATAATTGTGTTTTCGTTCTAGCATCGGACTCATCAACAGTGCCAAGACGCGAGGTAACCAAGATTTTAAACTATGACCAGTTCAATGATCTAAATTTTATTCTCTAGCAGCAAAGGATAAAAGCCATTACTTTAATATCCGGCGAAGTCCTGGACGAGGATTAATGAATAGTTCCATACTAGTACAAAATGTTGTTTATCGTTTCCTGGTCTTCCGTGGATGTTGTCATCAAACACTATACTGATAAACACTGTTTAATTCGTTGATCATAAACATTTGTTCCATTTTTATATTGTGTTGCATCATACATTGGAGAATTATGCGAAAACTTTGAAAACTAGGGAATGTCAATGACTTTTTTGTTCTGATCTTTAGTTCTTTTTTTATTTACTATAATAAATGCTTCATGTTTATAGGCTATCATCATTTGGCAGTCATAGCGAAAACAAAATAGAAAATCCAATATTTAGATAGGCGATTTCGAAATAAAGTAATCCTAGTGAGTCATGAACTAGGACAGAGTATCGTGTCTCCTAGTTTATGTTACTAGTTAATGAATGTTGTCTTTGCAGAAATCTTATTCAAAACAATGCAAATTACAGCAGACATACGCGATAAGTGGACAAAACCAGAGTACTTTCTAGATGACTTACGCTACCAAATAAGATATAAACACAAATTTATTTTTGGAACTTATAAAGAGTTGTACGAGTAAACCAGCAAAAGCAAATACTTCTTTTGTCACAACGCATCAAACCGCTTATTATCCAACCAGACCATACGAATTTTTTGATTAAGGAGTATATTTGGAAACTGAAAAATTTAAGAACATTTCTTGTAATTAGCATCTATAAGTACAACCACTAAACAAAATCATAATATTTAGAGTACAATAATCAGTGAATTATCATGGGATCAAAATACATCTACAAACATCAAAGCAAATGTCATAGAATGGGCTCTAAGTTACTCATTTTCAGATCAAAGACATAGTTAAAATTGTGAAGTATTTTGACGTCTTCGAATGTGATTGGTTTGGATTAAATTAATCTTTGGCAATTTCCATTCTGAAGACTTAATTGAAAAAGTACAAATTAGAGTAACTGGTGAAACAGTAGATTTAATAATAACTCCAACAATAACATTTTCGAGAACTGTTGATTTTTGTTAAAACTAACTAGGACTCATAATATCAAATCCATCTAAGGTTAAATTGAAATAACCTCACTATGAACCATATACTTTTATTATAAGCAAAGATGGATGGTGGCTAGCAGTGGAATCCAGGACGAGCGTTTCGTCCTGTTTGGGACTCGTCAGCTGGATGTACCTGCATCTCAGAGTTGATGTTTACTCCGGGACTCGAACTCAGTACCGTTCGCTTCAAACACCATCGCGTTATCCACTTAGCTACTGAGTCCTGATAGCCACTTGCTTGTGCAATGGGGTGAAGTTTAATTCACTTGGTATTGTCAGCTGACGAGTCCATAACAGGACGAAAAGCGCGTCCTGGATTCCACTGCTAGCCACTATCCATCTTTGCTTATAATGCTTGTAAATTAAGGCAATATCGAGGCATACGCACAGTATGCACATATGCCAATAAGAGACTGATCAATTTCAGTCCCAAAACATCAATGGGAAGATTCAAGTAAAAACAATACCAAGTGCATATATTTTTATGTTAGCGTCAACTATTTTTATGAATTAACATGTTCCCAGCCCGAGCACCTACGTTGGTCAAATGGAAATAAGAGTGTATCTTAAATTTTATGAACATATTACAAAAAGTCTAAGAACGATAGAAAGAACTGCTTTAAACAGCACAATTACTAAACATTTTGGATACACGACATCAGATAGATACCTTTTAATCTTTCAAGGTGATTTATAAACAATTAAGTTCCAGTCTCGCGTCAAAAACCTGATTTATGTGTTCATAAATCATTGGCTGCTGATCTTTTTTTATATCTAGATGATAAATATTCCTTGACTATGTCATAAAAGTTTATTCAACTCTTTCTTTCAATTAATTACATAGTTACGTTTCTTTTTATTTAGACTTTTCTAGATTCGTAATCTTATTTTAACCAATTGAGTTTCACTCATTTTATTCCTACTTATTATCAGTGTTTATTCAATGCAAAACCATTTGTTTATAGCTCTCTGGACTTTTGTTACTACCAATTTCATAGAATATTTTCACATAAGTTATACATTTACAATATTTTATTTAGCTTATTAAATTTTCTTACACCGTTGCTATTCTCCACTGGTGTTTGATCATAGCAACTTCCAACTAAACTCTACCATTATTGTTTGCATTGGTTGTTTGAATGTTCCCATCGATGTTTAAGACAACAAATGATCAGTCTCTTATTAGCATGTGTGTGAATTGTCTGTATATTACCTTATGTCACTAGTATTGTGAGCAGAGATGGATGGTGGCTAACGATGGAATCTCAAACGCGAGTTTCATCCTATTTGGGACTCTGAAGCTGAATGTTAATGTCGAAGCAATCCTTACATATAATGCCTGTGACTTTAGGCTCTATCGAGGCAATCTGAACAGGATGAACATATGCGAGTAAAAGACTGATCAATTGCAGTCTTAAACATCGGTGCAAAGATTGAAACAACCATTATACAAATGAGTCAAACTTCATATCATTGTAGAATCTATTGGCTATTTGAACTCAGTAGATAATTAGAAAACGTAATGTCATTTGAAGTGAACGGTAATGGGTTCGACTCTCGAAGTGAATATCAACTGTGGGATTCAAGTACACCCATCTGACGAGTACCAATTAAGATGAAACCCACGTCCTCGATTCCACTTTTAACCACCTTCCATCTATACTTATAAACTCTTCCATGTAAGTAATTTGATTTGATTTTGTAAGTTATACAAGTTGTGAGTTGCCGACAAGAACCAGACGTAATAAAATAAGTTGATGTTATTCTATACAAGTCATTGTTCTTGATTTCTTTGTTTACTTCAACTAGTTATCTGCAGATTGTTTAAATAAATATTATATAAGATTTTTCATGATTACTCTCAAAATGTATCACATATTATTAAACTGTGACATGTTACTTAGATATGTTCTGAGTAACTTACAACTTAACAAAATAACTGAATGGTCTAATTTGTAACAATTTAAACGAGTAGAAAACCATCACAAGGTTCAAACCGTGAACTAAGATTAAGAAATACATTTTGAAACAAATGATGTATACATTAAAATGATACACTAGCGATATGCAAGTGCAAATTAGATTACGTTACATATCGGGAAAATATGTTTTGTATAATAGAATATTAATAAAATAAATAAGATTTCAAATGATACTATTGACTACATCATTTGAATATATTAAACCTGATTAGCAGATCATTTCTCTGACTATTAGTTTCCATGGATGTAAGTAAGTGTTAGATAGCGAGTTAGTTTTCTACAGGATGAACAAGCATTGGATGGAACTAGAAAAGAAAGCCCAGGACAGAGTGGGTTGGAGAATGCTGATTGGCGGCATATGCTCCATTAGGAGTAACAGGTGTAAGCAAGTAATTAAGTAATTGTTTGATAAGATTATGTATGCGAAACATAATCACATATCTTTTCACTGTTCAGTAAACTTATTTACAGTATGTTAAATATCCTTAAAACATTTATTTATCTATTGACCATAATAAGGATCACTGGGCGTGAATAAATCCTGTATTTGTTTCATTCTTAGTTTCAATGAAATATATTTATACATAAGTTTTATGATGTTTGTTTATTGCAGATAGTCGACTTGAAACTGTGAACCTAAATTTCTTCACTGTTGCTATTCATCAACAATATTTATTTACAACCTTCAAAAACATTAGAGCTTGCTGTCTAATTCAGACTTGCACAAACTAATTATTTAGAACACAACTAACCCTTAGTAAAAAAACAATGAGTTATTATCCGATTCTTCATTCGAATTCATATCTGTCGATTTATCGGCCTGCTTGAATATCTGGGCTACCTGTTCCTCCGATCTAGATATTTCATCATGTTATCTGTTTTATTGTTTGTTTTAGCACATCATTATGTCTATTGTGCACACAACCTATTCAGGCGCGTTTATGAAAAGTTTACAACCTTTCGCTATACGGGATACAAAAATGTACAATCAGCGACATCATGGTGCTCGGCAATATGCATTGAAACGAATGAACAGTAATCAAATGTGGATTACCGAACTCCTAACATCTAACTGGTCATCATTCAAAATTTATCGTCACAATCGATCAAGGTATAAGAAAAGGAAACTTGTTGAAATACTTTATGCTGAGAATTCTATGTTGTACCAAAAATATAATGTTGAATAAAGCTTCTAATAATAATAATAATAATAATAATAATAATAATAATAATAATTTTCGAAAGTCAGAAGGGGTTTCGTTAAGATTTCAGTAATTTCAATAGTTGAAATCATGCGACAATTGAAGCTAGAATACCATGGAAAACCTGGAAGCACTGGACAGCTTACTCGTCCCATTGTGGGACTTCTCAGCGGTGAGCATCCACGATTCCGCCACCCCGCGAGATTCGAACCCAGGACCTATCAGTCTCGCGCTCGAGCACTTAAACATTGGACCACTGAGCCGGCATTCAATTGTGGTAATGTCTAACTTCAACCAAACTTTTCGAAAGTGGTAAAGATTTTTGGGACGATGTTACAATATCATACCTTCTTCTTTTGATATTTAAACAAGATATGAAAGTCTTATTTATATGGTATAAATTAGTAACTAAAATCATTATAAAATTGATTGATTTATCTCTTACCTCCATAATCTGAAAACTTATTCATGTTCTGATTTTGTGATTGATTTGTTATGGAATAGTTTGTATGTAATTCTTTCATATTTATATCATGATACTTTCTTATTGAATTTTCTGAGAAATCAGTTCTATCATGACGATTACGTTTTGTACGTTGTAAAAATATAAACACTAAAAATAACAATATAGTTGATATAACACAAGCTGCTGCAATAATTGCAATGATAATATATAAATTTAATGTATTATCACTAGCACCATATTGCATAATTCTATCAGAATTATGTAATTGATATATATTTGTTGTAAGATATGCTTTAGATGGTGATTGATCAATTTCAATAATTAATTCTGTTATTGTAAAACGATATGGTTTACCACAATCTCTTGCTTCTAATTTAAGAATATATTCACCTATTGCATTATATGGAATTTGTTTATGAATACTTAATATTCCATTATATGAATCTAATTGAAAATAATTATTATCATTGCCAGAATGAATAAAATAGAGAATTGTACCATTTTCACCTGCATCAATATCCATAGCCAAAACCTTTGAAAACAAAAAGAAAAAGACAAAAAAAGAGAAAAATTATTTAAAAAAGAAAAAATGTGGCGGGACTCTAATGTATGGACGACATTTGAACGAATCTTAAGTAACCTTGAGAAATATTAGCCAATCAGCAAACAGTCAGTATGTTCTACAAAACCAAGGAAATAAAGTGAATACACTTCTTATACGTGGTTCAAAAACTTGTCAAGGTTAGAAAGTGGTTCAGAGGTTCTAAAATCGTAATGCATGCAGTGGAGGAAATCATCGATACAGCTATAGAATAGTCGACCTCTGGAGCCATGATAAAGTCTCAAATACTCTTTCAGCTTCGACCACATAGTTTCAATATTGTTTATGTGCACTCCGGTTTCTGAGTGCACAAAATGCTACTTGGGGAGAACGACACGATGAACATAACCAAGCTTATGTAGGAGTCTGTGCGCTCTCTAATCATCTGTATATATTGTAGTACCTGGCTGCCGCCAGTGTTATTGGTTCTTTTATTATTCAGTTTGCAATAATTGTCGTAATTCGCCTTAGATAACAATTACATATGAGGTTTTCATCATGAACTGACATCAACTTTAATGCCAGAAATTTATTTAGCCAAATGAATGAAACGCTTTCTCGCTAAAATCCGAGATCTGTTTTCTTATATCTGATTGATTCATCCACAAATTATAGTCCCGCCGTTTTGTTTGTTATAGTCGCTCAATTATCACGTTTTGTACGAAATTCCCTGTGAACCAATCGTACGTTAGCATTAAGCCCTGAAGTTGGCGCCTTAACCTCGAAATCTCTAAAACGCCTCTGATCAGCTCGTCCATAAATTAGAGCCTCGCCAAAAAATTAACATCATAATAATGTTATACGTATATTCGTCAAGATTAGAACGAATAGTTCGACAGAAATTGGGCTCCGAGTATGTATAGAAGTCATTATATGTGCAAAATTATATTTGAAATAATTTTAGTGATTGAAATTTAAATCATTTAAATGTTTCGTCCACTAAAATTATCTGGAATTCTTCAGGGTGATGATCAAAATTGTTATATTTCTTTGATGATTTTGATTATTACCCTGACGAATTCTAGACACGTTAGCTGGACGAAACGTTGGAACTATTTAAATTTCAATCGCTGAGACTACTTCATATATAATTCTCACATATAATGACTTCATGATAATGTATCTATACATTTGATAGTTTAAATGATGAGACTATAATTTATGGACGAATCAATCAGATATAAGCTAAAAGGTCTAGGACATTGGCGCGAAATTCATTCATCCATTTGGATAATTAGGGTTTTGGTATTATAGCTGACGTCAGTTCGTGATGAAAATCCTAAATGTAATCTGTAAATCATAATTTTAATTCCTCACACTGATTTATAACACCCATTTGATTCTAGTTATTAGGTGGAGACTCTCAAGGTCAGTTAGCGTTACTTAAAGGTCGTGCATAAATTATAGTCTTACCAGAACTTTTATCAAAATACAAAGGGCAAATTATTTATTTTGATATGAAGCTTACAATATTGTTAATTCAATTTGTATAGGTTTGAACTTTCCCAGTGTAGATAATATTGACTAAGCTTTGATTGGTCTTTTATCACGGATTTTATAGGACAGATGAATTGTTACTGATATTAAAATTGGGGATACGCGTTTCATCTCATTTAAGACTTGAAAAGTGCATGTACCTGGATAACAGTGTTGGTTTTCACACAGGCAGATAAATTCAGCACAACTCGTAACAAGCATAGAACAATTTACCTGATCATGTGAAGCCAGGTATATAGGTTGTTCAATGAGTACCTTATCTAAAAGAATTCAAGAACATTATCCAGCGTGGCTAAGAAGAGGAGGAAACGGCTCAATAAGAACTTCAATAATCGAACACCTTGTGAACACAGGTCATTCAATGAAGACGGGCTCTGTGTTCAAAGTCATCTACAAGGTAGGTAGAAGTCTTCCAAAGAAATTATATTGCATCTTTTTAGGATTGCCGAAGCAATAGCCATACATCTAAGAAAACCAGAATTGTGTTCCCAAAAGAGTATGGTACGACCTCTTCTTCTACCATGAACTTAATATTTTATAATTTGTTTTCATGCTCTCCTTCCTTTATAGCCATCTTCTTCCCTTTCCATCTTTTCCTTTGATCGTTTTCCCTCATCTGGTTTATTTCTGTTTCTACGATCCTACTGATTACATTTAACCTCAATTTCAACATTTTATCTTATCATGTTGATCCATCCTTTCCCAGTGATAAGTTCCCTATCTATCTTTTAACAACAATCTAATCCATTAAAAATCAAACGATTATTAGTTTCCCTGTTTCTAAAAATTTTTTTAATAACTTTGTTTATTCTATTTGACTGTCACCTTGACTAACAAAGGTTTATTACCATTATTCTAGTAATTATTAGCACCCTGAAGAAAAATAAGTATATATATATATATTTGCGACTGTACAGCTTTTAAAATGAATTCGCCTAAATAAAAACTCTTCGCTGAACTAATCTTTCTTAATTAATGTCTTAATGGGTGTATTCCGTTTACTAAACATAGAACACCCTAACCAACAGCTACGAGGTCTGGATATGAACGATTACTAGGCACAGTCCATTTATTATTGTAAAAGTCAATTAATCGCAGTTTTCGAGTGCATAAATAATAATTTCAGAAATTTACAGCATCCAAGAAATACTGTTTATTTGATTACCATCTCTTCAAGTTGTTACAATTTCCAAGAATATTTTATCCTCGAATATTAGATAAAATGTTGATAAATAAACTAATCATATCGTTTATGATATGGGCGGAAAATTGGAGAACTACGGAAGCCATCATCTAGAAGATACAGGTGTTTATTAACAGTTGTCTACGCAAAATATTTCGGATACGTTGACCAGACACTATCAGCAACAACATACTATGGGAGAGAACAAACCAGATTTCAGTGGAGGAAGAAATTAGGAAGAAGCGTTGGAAGTGGATAGGACACAGATTGATGAAAGCACCGAACTGCGTCACAAGGCAAGCCTCTACCTGGAATCCTCAAGGTCAAATGAGAAGAAGGAGAAGATCGAAGACTACAATACGCGGAGAAATGGAGAAGAAGAATGAATAACAATTGGATAGAACTAGAAAGGAAGACCCAGAACAGAGTTGGTTTGAGAATGCTGGTTGGCGACCTATGCTGCATTAGGAGTGATAGGCGTAAGTATGTATGTATAACATGCGTTAATTTATTATAAAGAATATCATATAGAAAGAAAATCATGCCGAAAATGGATTTAATCTGAAAATAAAAGCGTATATAATTCTAAGCGGTTACCACACTAAATAAGAGTCCACACTTGTCATATTGAACAAAGTTCACACTGAACTGATACAAGAAAACATTGATCTTCTAATCTCAGATTAAACGATGTTTACACACGTCATGCTAAAAGAAATTCATAATGAACAAGAAATATCAACCTAAATGATGTCATATTCTTATGCTGTCCTATCAGATAGTTACATAAGAGACATATCTATTCACTGAAAATCATAGAAACAATAATACTAATATGTAAATCGAAATGTACTAAAAGATAATTTGATACTATTGTATTCAATGAGTTTTGAAGATTGTTAAGTATTATTGAGATCATGAACCAACATTACTTGACTGATTAATATTCTTATTATAAAGTCAACGTGAATCAAATCAAAATTCCAGTTCGCTTAATTAACAAGTGATTTTATAATGTTTTGTGAATTAATTCATCAAAATAAACAAACATTCTAAGTAAAAATGGATGATGACTAGCAGTGGAAACCAGGACTCGCGTTTCCTTCACTATCAATCTTTACTTATAATGCTTGTGAATTGAGGTAATATCTAGGCAATACGCACAGTATGCACATACACCAATAAGAGATTGATCAATTGCAGTTCTAAACATCAATGGGAAGATTCAAGTAAACAATACCAAGTGAATTCAAAACAAAGTTTGAAAATACTTGATACATCATCATGATTTGCTTCCAACTATTCTTCCAAATATTTAGTTTTATGAAAATGGTGAAGATAAGTTAAGTACATTTATTATGTTATATTGATGAAAAAGTAATTTGATAATTTCACTGGTTGAAATCATGAGTCAATTGAAGCTAGACCACCATGGAAAACCTGGAAGGCCTAAATGGCTCCTTCTGATAATTTGATTATTGTTAACTCTTAATCATTCACTTGTAAAACGTTGTAGCGAAGCAACAACAACAAAAAATTGTCTTGTTTTTCCTGAAAATAAATATCTTACAAATGTAAACTAAGAAAAAATCAATAAATTATTATTATCAGAATGCGTTTTGTGGAGATTTTTAGAAATTTAACTTATTGAAATCATGAGCCAATTGAAGCTAGACTACCATGTAAAACAAGGAAACACTGGACAGCCGTTTCGTCCTAGTATGGGACTCCTCAGCAGTGCGCATCCTCGATCTCGCACCCCGCGAGATTCGAACCCAGGACTTATCAGTCTCGCGCACGATCACTTAATTATTGGACCACCGAGGCGGCATCCAATGCTGTTAACATCTAACTTCAACCAATCCACGAAGTTGCGTCACCATACACCATTGTCTTCAGTGAGTTCCTATCTCACAACAGACCTGGTTGAACTCCACTGGTAACGACTTCTCACTAGAACTCCAGGAGTATCTCCTGAAGTCTAGCTTCAATTTACTCATGATTTCAACAAGTGAAATATATTATTAGCTTCAATTGTTGATGCCCGTGAATTTTTTTCCAAAGCAAACAACTTCGAAAGCATTATTGATCATTCAAAAAGTTAAAACGAAGTTTTTATTTAAAGAAGTAATTCTTTAAGATTGTGGAATGATACTGTCACTTCAGTCGGGAGAATAACATTGTATATCATGTATCAGTCCAACCTCTGCTAATCTTGACAAATAACCCAAATATAATGTGAATATACTTT